GATAAGTAGCCATTCAGCTCAGTGTTAACCCGTGAGATTTGTCCACCTTATCCATGGAACTTTCTACCCAGAAAAAAAAAATTGGTCGCAATGGAAGCTGCGTGCGCGGGAAAAAGTCTCATTAAACCTGCAGCCCCAGCCAGGCGAGGCCTAGACACCGGGACCACATGAGGTGCGCATATTCATCTATATCTCCCTTCTTTGTAACAGTCGAGGCCGACTTGATCCAATCCACCATCTCCGTATCGGGTGCTGGGTACGCTCCGGAAACTCATCGGATGGCTTCTCCTCCATGATCAAGGGTTGCTGATGAGTAGGGCTCCGACCTTACCATCTGATCTGATCGTGGTTAGCCTCATGATAGTGGTGATAGGGGAATGTGTTGAGAGATGAAGACGATACAGACCGCGAAAGCGATTGGGAATCCACGTCGGAGTGAGGACTTTGTTACTCAATATCGGCTCTGCAGACTCTACAGTGAGAGCTGGAGGTCCGCAGGAGACACCACTGACAGGTTTTGAGGATAGACCCCCAGTCATGCATTGTATTTTGGTAGTAAATATAAGGTTTTAATCACGAGAAGAATTGGTAGGAAGGCAGCTCTGGTGTAGAGATGAAAGAAGTAGATTGGCTATGTGGAGAAAGTACCTAGAGGCGGACAGGGACTATATGCTAACGTGCACGTACCATATGTACTCACGCTATTGTACCTAGGGCCAGGTTGAGGCGAGGCCGTAACTGTTTTACAATACGCTGATCGTTAATTAAATAACAACTCTGGTTTAGCCTCATACTAATTGTTCGTCTGCTTTAATCCTTTGCGTGATGTCAAATGTAGTAGGGCAAAATCGAACACCTGTACGGACTATCCTCTGCGGACCAGAGAGTTAAATATGCCCTCACAGCCTCGTTCAGTCAAATTTCGCCAAATTTCGCAATACCAAAGAAGTTGGCCCACGAATCAATGATTCAGAATAATCCACCATGTCAATCTTTTGTCAAAACATAATCGATTCCTACCGAAGCTTCATCAAGTTTACAAGTACGATCTACTACATCCTCATCTCAATGACCGCACCTCTCATCGAATATTCTCTGGCCTCAGACGGTCACTAAATATTCGCCTACAATAATACGGATATCTGTTGGAGAACAAAATTCGTAACGCTCCAATTAGGGAGTAATTTTTTTGGGTTGGAAGTGAGAGACATTAGGACAAGCTTACAAGACGATACAGAGGAAGGATACAAACCTGAGAGGTGTGAGATTTCGAATTTTGGCAAGGAGATTCACACATCGAAGAGTATTGTGCGCGCCAATACTTCGATTGCGATGGTACAGCTGAGACTACAAAAAAGAGCAAACGATGGAAGGTGTCGTGGTCCGCCCCATGGTGGTCGTCTCCGGTATGATTTGAGTAGCCTAGCCACCTACTCCACTTGGGAAGGAGACAACTAAGATCTCACTTCGCGCTGAGGAGAGTTGATGGATGATGGAGAAATGTCTGGGTAAATCGGGTTCTAAGACGTTCCCCTGGACAGTTATTCACGGATGAGGGCTGAATTGGGTTGAAGAAAAAGCCGCCATTACTTCGCAGTGGTACTTGCAAATGAAATCAGAGGCATGAGTGCTACAGTTACAATTGAGTCGTCTTTTATATAATTTTTTCTCTGATATTGTGTCATAGCTGGGTAGCTGCATACTCAATTAAATTTGATGCAAAAAAAGAAGTAAGATGTTGTATGAAAACCCGATCGCTTGATCACTTACCGAAACTTTCTCTTCATCACTTGTGCGCCTTCATATCCCCGTAGTCCTCACCAGTCGATAAAAGATCCTCCTTTCATTGGAACCATGGCTCGGTAGCTGTTCCTCTCAGACTTGCCGGCGAGCCGTCAGATCTGGAGAGACCTAAGGCACACCACTTTCCTCATGTAGCCGCGAAGAGATGCTCCCCTCCTTTTTTTACATCATTTAATTGAGTATGCAGCTACCTAGCTATGACACAATATCAGAGAAAAAATTATATAAAAGACGACTCAATTGTAACTGTAGCACTCATGCCTCTGATTTCATTTGCAAGTACCACTGCGAAGTAATGGCGGCTTTTTCTTCAACCCAATTCAGCCCTCATCCGTGAATAACTGTCCAGGGGAACGTCTTAGAACCCGATTTACCCAGACATTTCTCCATCATCCATCAACTCTCCTCAGCGCGAAGTGAGATCTTAGTTGTCTCCTTCCCAAGTGGAGTAGGTGGCTAGGCTACTCAAATCATACCGGAGACGACCACCATGGGGCGGACCACGACACCTTCCATCGTTTGCTCTTTTTTGTAGTCTCAGCTGTACCATCGCAATCGAAGTATTGGCGCGCACAATACTCTTCGATGTGTGAATCTCCTTGCCAAAATTCGAAATCTCACACCTCTCAGGTTTGTATCCTTCCTCTGTATCGTCTTGTAAGCTTGTCCTAATGTCTCTCACTTCCAACCCAAAAAAATTACTCCCTAATTGGAGCGTTACGAATTTTGTTCTCCAACAGATATCCGTATTATTGTAGGCGAATATTTAGTGACCGTCTGAGGCCAGAGAATATTCGATGAGAGGTGCGGTCATTGAGATGAGGATGTAGTAGATCGTACTTGTAAACTTGATGAAGCTTCGGTAGGAATCGATTATGTTTTGACAAAAGATTGACATGGTGGATTATTCTGAATCATTGATTCGTGGGCCAACTTGTTCGGAATTGTGAAACACTCCCAGGTCCGTAGAGGATGCTACGAACAAGTGTTCATTCTTACCCTTCTGCTCCTCACTTCCAGACCAGTGGAGGCCGTTAAATAACAGGCCCCGACCAATGCGGCCACGAGCCCGAGAGTGGCCCGTCCAGACCAAGCCGACGAGGCTGAGGTGCGTGAGGCCCTTCCTATCTGCGTGTCCGGCTTATCCCTGACTTTTCCCTTGCACTTCCATATGCCCTGACCGCGCGTCCAGGGTGTTCGCGATCGAGGCTTCGACACCCCCGCGTTCCTCGATTTTCGGTTCTATGCTGCTCACCAGGCAAAAGTAACTTCATGAGTGTTAGAATCAGTCAGTGAGACTAGGGAACAAGGTTTAGGTGGTTAGAGTCTTGAGTGTCCTGGTCACGGGACATTGCGTTCAAAAAATTAGTGTGAACTTTATTATCCAATCATGTATTAGCGTTCTCGTAATACTAGGAGTTTCCCGTTCGGTTTAAGAAAACAACGTATAACTTAGATCTGACTGAGCGAAGTGTACAGGCATTCTGTGATACTAATCAAAGGCGTGGGTTAAGTCCCTAGTCACCGCAAGCCACTTGGCAACCCCAACGCACGAACGCGCAGCTTATCGCTGTGAAGGGCACCCAGTGCATGGCTTTCAAAATTATAATTTCCGTGGAGCCAACGAGTCGCGTCAGGTGTGACGCGATGGCGGTCAGATCACTTCGCCTTATTTCCAACCCGTGAGGACGCAGCTGCATGGCCCTGATGCTTGGCTAATATAATCTACATATACTACATGTATCTTTCATCGTCGAAGACACTAGTGCTGTGAATTACATTTACAAAAACCGTTACGAGATGCATTTATTTAGATAGAACAATCGATTCCCTCCCTTCAGAGTTAAGGTATGGAATCCCATATCTTTCGATTATCAAAAATTGCCTTCATCACTGTGAACACGAAGACAGCGACAAATTAAGCCTAGTTTTGATGGATTCGAGCCGGCAATCTATCTCAATTGGGAAATATATCCAAGTTATCTAGACCCAACGTGAGATACCATTCCAGATAATATTCCATAGCACCATCCAATTTTTACTATTTTTGGAGTGCAGGCTGAACTATCGCAAACAGAGTTGTGGCGCGCACAATGCTCTTTAATGTAAAAAACTCCCCAAAAATCAGTATTTGACTCCTTGAAACGTGTATATCATTGGCATTGTGTGGACCATATCTCATGACCTATCATAGTCATTCTAAAGGCGTACCTCGCAAAATTTATCTCTTCCTGCGGGTATGTACATGGTTCAACAAAATTCTCTAGAACTGGCGAATGGTTATTAAAGAGGTGTGCTCACTGTAATGAGATTGCGCCAGGTCATTCTGGTAAATGTGAGGAGACTCTAGTCAGAACCGTTGCCATAGGGGTGAAAGATCATGTGGCAAAGAGCCTTGAATGGTTGCCTATTGGGCTAACTTGAGTTATGAAATTTTTCTCGAATAGGCTGTGCTGGGATGTCTCATACCTTAATTTGTAGTGCACATCGCTCAAGAATGATCAGACCTCGTCATTTGGTCAGCACGTCTAAGGAAGAATTTAGGCTGCAGTCGAAGAAATGGCTCCAGCCCGAATGAACAGTGAGCTGTGACGATAATTGTCAAATAATTATTCTCCCTGCAAAAAGCGGTTATTTGTTCCCCAGAACGGCAGACGTCGATCATACAAATAGGTAGTTGACTTTTATGTTGCCCAGTCAACAGATCGCTCCTCTGCTAAGAAGCTACGATTAAATATCGTGTTTATCAATTCCAGATTGTTGATGTAGACACAGCATGGCCTCCACTACGCACGGTTCGCACGTTTAGTTCTGGGGGCGATTGAAGGTTGTACACACCCGATTAAGGCCTGTGTACATAAGTAAAACATCTTGCAATGTGAGCTGATGGAACGAATCTCAGAAAATTGAAAAATCCTGGTGTCAATGCAGGTAAACACGTTGATTAAGCATGATAAAAATTTATACTCCGAATAATCGTTACTTGAATTTTAGATGCAGAACATTAGTGCTACCTGCTAGACCGGCTTACAGTTTAGTCCTAGCCCCTGCTTTGTACGCTTTGTGCACCCCTACTGCTACATTTGTAAAATATTACATACCTTACCCGTGCTCTATCTGCAATCGATATCTCATCGCATGTTGGTATAAACTCCACGCATTTCCATTAACATCTTTCGTTCTCCGAAATCTACAAATTAACTTAAGTCCATCCCAACTTCCAGGACTGGTAACAATTGGCTATTGTCTGTTCCTAACAATTTTAGGTCGATAGATGTAGAAGCCTTAGGGCTCTGGAAAGTAGAGAATTCTCCGTGCCCTAAATTTGGTTGTGTAATGGTACTAGGTGACTGTGCTGCTTCCATAATTGTCTGACCCTCAAAAATAGGACAAGCACCTTGAAGGTTAATCCACGTTTTCTCCAAATTCACACTTACGAGTCTACCCTGCTTTAAATCTTCACCGAAGAGAAAATACCCCTCATTAGATTCTATAAGGTAGCTTGCCAGGCCTTTACTCCGTAGTTGTATCCTTACATTTGATAGTGGAAAATGATTTTCGATGAATTTAATCCAGCCACGGGTGGCTGCTTGGGTTTCTGGGTCAGTATCAGAGAGTGATGACCATCCAATTCCTAGATGTCGAGTGAAGCTATCGATGATTGATCCTTCTCGATTTTCTGGAATGCCACTTGTTTGAAAGATAGGGCCATTAGGTTCTAAAAGAGAGGCTGTGTCAATTTTTCGAATTTTGGAGATTGGTGCATTAGATTCAGTTGAACACATTTTTTCTAGCGCTAGTGTGCTTGTTAGTTTCGTGTTTGTGCGCGCCCTTTGTCTTCCGTAAAGAGGTCCAGCAAGGGGTACCGATCTGTTTGGAGCATATGCGCGTTCGAACTCGGCCTGATGGCTTTTCTTTCCAATTTGCTGGTGTGGCTCGTAACGAGGAACAGGTTGGTATGGAAAAGTTGTGGCGGAGTGATGCAACCCTTCACAATCGTCTCGTGAACGCTTCCGAGAAAGAGCTAGGCGCGAAGTAATTTCGGCCTGGTTGGAATAAAAAGTATTCGCACACACTGACTGAGGTCTATTGGACGAGAGCGAGGATATTGACGGACGACGAGTGGAGATAAGAGACTGCCGAGTATTAGCGGTGTGTGCACGGGGAATAAGGGAACATTTCCATTATAGGAATGCAAACGACCTGCGTGTAACTCTTAAGCCTTGCATCGGTGAATTGACCTACATGAGTTGGATGTTGGGTTTTCAGGGTTAGGAGAGGATCGTTTGAACAGAACTGGGTATGGTAGCGCATTATGGCATACAAGAAGGGGAGATGCACAGTTGGGGGGTAGGACAGGAAAAGAAGATGATTCAGGAAGAAAATAAAAGAAAAATGTATACGTTTTGAACGTCAGGTAGTCGATGGTCTCTAGAAGTGACCGGCGGGGATATATCAAATATATTGTTAGACAAAATGTGTGTCCTGGTAAAGGTCTGTTCTAGACACGGGAATGGAGTAGAGGGCAGTGGAGGTTGCACAGCAACAGGCACCTGATTGGCAAGACTAGGGGCTATGCGGTTAGATCAGCACTGACGTGCACTAATCTAATCTTCCATTTTTATCATTGGAGGAACAAAAATCCAAGACATGGATGGCTACCATACATCAGACCCCGAGCCCCGATCTGTTCCAATAAATTATGCACACAAGATTCTCGCGTTATATGTCACTTTGTACCTCTAATTTTTCAGCCAATCAAATAAGGTCAGTCAATTAGCTAGCCCTGTGACCAGAAAGATGACACTTGGCAAATATCGGAAAATCAATTGTCCGTAATGCCCACCTCAGGGACGAGGCTGGACTGAAGTATGCCGTTTAGATCTGTCTCTCAAGGAAGTTGCTGGTCCAAATCTATCACAGCCCAGCCTCAGATATCACAGCACTTTGATCGATGGATAAAACTCAGAGTAGTCAGGTTAGATTCAAATTTTTGAGTTTTCTCGTGTGCGGATGGACACGGTTGAGATTAGGGCACGAAGCCCTGCGTCAAGCCTCTGAAGTAATAGCAACAAATGCAACTCATGTTATGATTTTGACCTTGTTGTGTGACCACCCTGTGCTCTACAAGAATTTTTTAAATAAATTATCAAGTGAATGACGTTTATAGAATACTCGAGACAACAATTTACAATACCAATGTTCAATTAAATCGAGTAGGCACGTAACTCAAGTAGGATACATTGGCTTAGCAACGCCTCATTGGTGATCAAGCGCAAGCGAGATGTCGGTGTAAAACGATGGGTGAATTTCAACACATCTACAGCATCAACGTAATGTTACAGTGGTAAAAACTTAGGCCTGGGCGCAAAGGCTTCCTTATAAGTAATGGTTGTTATGCGTGAGAAATTGCTGGCATGGATAGTGTAAGGCGACTTCGTTCGGACACACTGCATTGTCTTTCCTTCATTTACTATTTATAAAATTCTTCCAGCAAATCAAACCATGCACGCAGGTGATAGTGAGTCTGTCAAAGTTACAAACCCGTATCACGCCTCTTGAGTGTAGGGCGCAAGCTTGTTACGAAAAGTATTCGAACCAAACTAAACAAAACCCCATTAGTAATCGCTAGAACAGCGATAACAACATTTCAATCACTACCAGCTCATCAATTTCTCAGGGCTAAGTGAGGACTACTAGATCCAGAGAACGCACAAGAGCGAGCGATACCAGGTCAATTCTAGCTCTACAGGCCGAAGATGGGAAGAGTCAGACCTTAAAAATTTGACGCTCACGTATTATATTTGAGTAAGATGACTAGCAACACTGGCTTGTCCAAATCATTCACCACTGGGTATAAGACTTCAAGGCTCGCTGGTGAATGTACCACTTGTTAAAGTATGTTGAAGCGAATGGTCATTGATATCTTCGATCGATATCATTTAACAACCACCCTAGTTCACCCAAGGTTACGATATTATATCTCTGGGAAGATTAAACTAGCCTGATAACCTCGTCAAACCAGGTTGACTTACTCACACATCCTTTTTGGACCGGGAAAATGCTAGTCTCAAGACTGCAAATTCCAACGATAATTCTACAGTCTGATGAGTTAATTAATATCTTGTCGGTATATCCATAGGTTGGTCTAGTGTAGGCACTGATATTTATATGCGTCAGATGGGATACAGGTCTCTACTGAGGCCCTCTGACCCCAATAACACGGACCGATATCACTGCGTTGATGAGGAAATAGTCTCATTCATGTAGGGTGCTATCTGACCGAATAACAGGATAATAAAATGAAATAATAAAAATAATAATAATATCTAACCGAATAATAAATTATCGTAGGTATTCGTTGATGAAGTAAATATTCTTTCCACAAATTTCATCCATAAAATCTACGAAGAGCGATTGCTCACGAATGGGTAGTGGATGTAAATTGTAATTATTTATGCTTAGTGGTAATCTCAATTGAAGCTTAACACATGAGTGACTCTAATTCTAAAAGACACGCAAAAATCTAGATGTGACATTTAGAATTTAGTGCTAACTGATATCTGAAAGCAAATGAATTTACGGAATGAGTGAGTGAGTATTTATTGTCCTAATGAGTCTATAACTATGTGAGGACATGTAGGTATTTTTTGCCTGTAGGCCGGGAGTATTTATGCCTCGGGTAGTGTTCTCCCTCCTATGCCTCCCTCACAACTTCTTCCAGCAGTTATACCCCCATGGGTCTTCATTCTAGTACACACTAAGAGGAGCCGTTATCCCGTCATTATCTCTTCTCTCCAGCCAACTGAACGATGGCCATTTGCGGGTGTGTAGCTGCAGGGAAAAGTTTCAAATACCACTGGGTGCGGGGCTCTTCTGATGAAGTTACGGAAAAGAATAGGAAAGATGTCAACACGCATATTGTGATTCCTAGATTTTGACGATTACTGAATTCATTCTTTTAATTAGGTTGCGCTTGTCGGCTTAGTTTCAACGTAGACTCATGGTCAACACCACATGAAGCTACTGATTGGTGTGTTCTTACTGCAGGGAACCCTAAATTCTAGATTCTTAACTCCGCTCGCAAATACAACCATAAAGTATATTTTTCGTCATAGACAGTCTAATTATCATGCACCTTGGCACTTGTGACGTATTCAATTTTCTTGTGAATTTGAAGGAACATCGAGGCTCCACTTGCCGGATACGACATCATGAGATTTGACGTAATCATTCCCACTCCTATTTGAGGTAAATTTTAAGCCTGCGATGGCCTAGAAGGCGTCATTCACGTTTCGCGAGTCTGCCAGCCACCAAGATGCTACTGCAAGAAGCACATGTAGACGTATCCACTCGAGCCGAGGGTAAGGAAGGTTCTATGAGTAAGTCAACCCCTTATACAGTATAAATTTGACGCCAAAAACATCAGGAATCTTTACTTTTCACCCTTGTATCCCGGGATATGCCAGTGCGTGAGTATCATGAGAAATTCGAGCGGGGGCAAGATCAGAGCAACTGACAGTGACTCAGGAGATTTCCGGGTGTTGTCCTATTTAGTGAGATTTACCAAGGTGAGCGAGCCAGTTAACTTCTTGCGGATCATTACGAATTCTTTCCAAACTACTGTCCCGCTGCCGCACCAGCATCCCTTATGTGGAATTATCGCTGCTCTACAATTTTTGCAAAAAAGTCAATTTTCTGCTTCTGTTCAATGCCTGGTTCACACAGTAGTGGGCTCTGAGTTCCCAGCATCTAATTTGCGGTTTTCAATGCGTAGTCACTGGTCCTGTGGCCAGATTTGCCCGTCAGATCGCTAGCCATGGCTTCATTGTTGTCGCACCTTCTTCCTACCATGACTTTATTGGACCGGAGCCACTCGCCTACGACGCTGCTGGAACTACTGCAGGAAACAATTTCAAGATAAAAAAAACATTGGCAAGTTATGATGAAGATGCAACTCTCTCGGTTGATCACCTCCTATCTCTCAAAACCTGCAATGGTCGCATCGGAGCAACTGGAATGTGTCTAGGTGGACATCTAGCATTCAGATGCGCTTTAGATTCTAGAGTCTCGGCAGCAGTTACGTATTTTGCTACTGACCTACACAGTGCCTCCTTGGGTTTCGGAAAAAGAGACGACAGCTTGAAACGAGCACATGAGATCAAGGCCGAATTGGCATGTATTCATGGAACTCTTGATAATCATGTTACTCCCGAAGGAAGAGACCTAATTCGTCAGACCCTGCGAGAAAGTGGTGTTGTTTTTAGCTGGTATGAGCCCGCCGCTGCTCAGCGTGAGTCAAAATTTCCTCACAAAACTTAAATGAAGGCTACTTACTATACAAGATGCATTTATACGAGATGAGATGAGCAAGGGAAGATATGATGCAGTTATCACCAAGATTTGTTTTGAGATTCTCCTAGAATTATTCAACCGAACATTAAGGCTAGACCTTGGAATTTGTGACGAAACATACCTTCAGATAGAAGAAGATTGCTAGCGTTAGGCGGTATAAGTATTGTTAGGGCAAGTTCGAATGGAAAAGTCACTTTGAAAATTGAGAAATCTCACAAAAATAACACATTTTCATGTAATCTTCAGACAAGCTTGTGAGAATTCAAAAATGAAAGCCATCAGTCTTGTCCATTGTACACGATCCTGCCAATCTCAATTTATATATTTGCGGGACATTTAAATGCACACTTGCATGACAAATATCAAGTCTGGGAATTTGAATTCATTTAACCCGTTCAGGTCCCCTACGGGCCCATGCAGGTATGTGTAGCTATAATATTTACTCGGGAGGAAATCAAATTCGGTAAAAAACACTCCAAGACTACCTGTCCAATTTCAATTGGTTTTTTTGGGTGTCTTATAGGAAGTGCGTTTACACTGTTCATCCAGAGTGAATTACGTCCCATCCTTTTCCCGGTCGCGTCATCCTATCATTGACTGCTATCTCATCTTCTTCTGTAATCCGGAACTGTTCAAGCCAATCGTTACTAAGTACCCACTCTGTGATACTCTTCATATCATCTGGGCTGTTCATAATAGCTACAAAAGACTTATCTTTTGCCTGTCGCAGAACCTCTCCTTTTCCCTTAGCCCACTGAGGACAAGTCAAGACCATGTTTTTGATATTTTGAGACGGATATTCACACTGGCATTTTGGATTAATCACTCCGGGGACCCTTCTTCTATATAGAAAAGAGTTGAGGCCAATTTGCTCACTTCTCATCTATATTGAGATACTGCTTTGGGTCCTGCTCAGGTTTCGGTGGATGTTAGAGGATGTATTTCTATAGGTGATTCTTTTTCTGACTGTTCTCTTGTCGGTGATGATACTAGCAGATTTCTAATGTTTTGGGTCTGCCGACATTTGAAGAGAAGAAAGTCGCTCTTCCTCAAATAGTTTCCATGTGCTTTCCCACTCCTGAAAAGATGCTATCTTACCCGCTTTTTTGTCTACAACTCATCTTTTCGTTGCTGCAGATTTTGGTCCACTTATTAATATCTCGACTTCGGTTCTTGGTCTGACTATTTTCGCTCAGGCTATAAGCCTGCGATATTTCACTTCATGCGGATCGAATTATCTGCTTGATAGGTTGTCCCTCTTTCAAGTTTAGAAATGTATTTATTGGAATATTATCGTATGATTGATGATACTGGAATGATTTGAATACTGATCCTAATAATCTTTGATTGACTGCTTAACTGCTTGCTTGGTTGGTTAATTGCTTCTATTTAGATATGAAGATACCGCTCCATTATAGACACAACTTTCGTGCTAGCCCTCGCTATACATGACTGCGCCATTGCTGCGATGTTTTAATTGTACTACTTGTGTCATTGACAATACAGCATATTGAGCTCCTCTCTGACCCAGGCCACACCCTGTACAGTGCTCCTTGCCTCTCATATTTCTTGAAAGATCATCGATATATTGCCCTTGATAAGTAGCCATTCAGCTCAGTGTTAACCCGTGAGATTTGTCCACCTTATCCATGGAACTTTCTACCCAGAAAAAAAAAATGGTCGCAATGGAAGCTGCGTGCGCGGGAAAAAGTCTCATTAAACCTGCAGCCCCAGCCAGACGAGGCCTGGACACCGGGACCACATGAGGTGCGCATATTCATCTATATCTCCCTTCTTTGTAACATTAGAGGCCGACTTGATCCAATCCACCACCTCCGTATTGGGTGCTGAGTACGCTCCGGAAACTCATCGGATGGCATCTCCTCCATGATCAAGGGTTGATGATGAGTAGGGCTCCGACCTTACCATCTGATCTGATCGTGGTTAGCTTCATGATAGTTGTGATAGGGGAATGTGTTGAGAGATGAAGACGATACAGACGGCGAAAGCGATTGGGAATCCACGTCGGAGTGAGGACTTTGTTACTCAATATCGGCTCTGCAGACTCTACAGTGAGAGCTGGAGGTTCGTAGGAGACACCACTGACAGGTGTTGAGAAAATTCCCTCTTTCATATTGGAGTAGACCAGATTCCTGTCAGAAACCTGCCCAATCCGCGTAAATTGACGTATTTTATATGCGGGGTTGGCTGTGCAGCGCTCAAAATAGCTCCATAAGTTCGTTTCAGGCCTTCTGGCTCCCTTTGAATTACATGATATTGTAGATTATATCAGTCGCCATGTTCAATCAGGTATGGGCCTGCAGCCATAACTGTAGCCCGGGAGACCTTAAAATAAGTTAATATTTCATTGCACGAGGTTTGTTCGGATTAGGTCCTAGTCAATGATATATAGCCTAATTGTGCTATGTTGCAGGCTACTGTTCCAGCTACTCATAAGGTCAAAATTAGGGCTATGAGTAGTTTCGGTTTGGTTTGGGTTATTAGATTTATACTTGAGCGTTTCTCATAGTAGTCAGGCTTGTAGCTCAAGTGTCAAAATGCACGGTAAACCTCAACCCCAAAACGATGATACAAATCGAGTTTTATACGCTAGTTGCTGTATGGCTAGCGTGGATGGAAAAGAAAGGATTTACCTGTAGATATATAAAGACGTTGTAGCCCATTGATGATTGAGACAAGTTTCCCACCAAATAATATAGGAATCAATCCTAGCCTCTCATCAAGCAAACTCATGAATTATTTCAGATTTCTGTGACAGCAGAGATTCAATATACAAATTCGACATAAAGATCAAAGTTGATAAAGATTAGACAGAGAAAAATCATTAACAAACTTATATTATATCATAGCTTTACCTACTGAAGTAAAGACGTGATATTACCCTGTAATCCCGATAATAGCACTGATAACTAAGCGGATCCCCCCTTAAATGCCAATGTTAATGACTTACTTTTCAAATAATTCAAAAGAGACACATGTGAGAGTTCTATTTGTTCCACTTGTGATGAACTTCAGACATAAAGCGTTTGTATTTCCAACAATTCGTTATCCCAGTATTCAGTAAGCTACCTTCAGTATAGTGCAAATACCTGGGAGAATTATTATCCGCAAATGCAGGATTAGCAGTGAAAACCTGCGGCTTGACAAATACCATTTAGAAAATAAGGGAACTTGGCCTAACTCTAAACCTAACTCATAATGAAAATGCAAACATTTTTGAATCACTGCATAAAAGTCTTTAAAATATTTGGTATGTTCTATTCATAATTTAATTCACTGCATATTAGCTGCAGGTACCTCATCAGATGTTGTTAATTCATTAGACGATTCGATCTCTCGTGGTGCCGGCACTTGCAGCCCGACATTGTTCGCGTTTATTACTTCAAATGTTTCCATTTCATCGTCTCCTGATACGAAACTAGGCGTCTGACCGATTACATCTACACTAACATCAACCTCTTCAAACTTATTTTGCGTTTCAGATACTAAAGTAGTATCTATACTACATTTACGTAAGTTTTCTTCCATTCTACCCTCACAAATATTTATTAAGTCTTCCTCGCACTCTTGAATCTGAAGATTATCCCGATTTAAGGGGCCAGGTATCTGACCTGTGGTACCGCTCCAGCTACTTTTTCGCAGGTTTCCTGCTGAGACCTTGACGCTATGACTGCGCTGAAAGCCAGTGTCAGCCATATTTGGTGTAATTTGGTTGAGAGATAGAATACGCTTGGGAGTGCAGGGTTGATTATTGACAAATTTATTACGACTATTATTCATATTCATATTTAATGCACTTTTTGTATTTTTAGATGCTCGAGATATCTCAGGGCTTTGAACTGGTATAGAATGACTTGGAACTCGCTTTCGACTCATAGCTTCTCGACCTTTGTTTATTTTTGGTATTGAAAGGGACCGGGAGTGATCAATCAAGCCTTCAAAAATACGACGTTCAAGGCTTTCTGCCCTTGATTCAATGATATATAGTTCTTCACGTCGAATGCTCAGAGCTGTCTCCAGACTAGACACATCAGCATGAAGTCGCATTTTTTGTGTACAAAATTCAGCCTGCTCTGCTCTTAACTGGGAGATTGACATCTTTAATCGAGATTCCTCCTCGCGGAGCTCAACAACTGACGCCTCAACAGAATCTTTGAGAATAAGTTGGGTTTCAAGAGAAATCGTTGCTTCTGCTGACGCTACTTTCTGGCTGACGAATTCTTCCGAAGCACACTTAGTTTGAGCGTTGAAATATTCCGATACTTCAGCAGCAGTTTTTATCACCTTTTCATGGATCTCATCGAGTGTTTCAAGTCGTGAGAATGATTTTCTGGCATTCTGCATAAACTCTACGAGTTGATTAAGTTTTTCATGAATGCCAGTATCGTCGTACTTCTCCGCTAACATTGATGGTAAGGATTCTAGTACTGCCGTTTTCTCATCAAAACTGACAGCTGAAGACTTAGAGTGCTCATATAATTGGTCAACAGTTAAAGTCAAGTTATTAATTGAGTCAAGAACTTTAGGATTGTGATCTTTCATAGCGTCGCCTACATTCTCGATTGCACCGTAGACCTTCTCTACATCTTCACGAATAAAATTTTTCTCAATTTTATTTTCAGCGATGCTTTCATCGACCTTATTGTAGGTTTCGTTTAGACGATTGAAAGTCTCTCTTGAAGAATTATCAATAGTTTCTAGAGATTTAGTGACCGTAGTACTCAAATGATGTGTGAGCAATTTAACATCCTCGGCAGCTGCTTGAGTTGCGTGCAGTGCAGCCACCGTTACATTTTTTTCTTCTGTATATTTTGCTGTAATCTCAGCAACAACATTTACTTTTTCGCATTTGCTTGTTAGTTCGTCGAAACTATTACCAATTTTGCTGTCCAACTTTTCCCAGGTTTCCAGTAATTTTTCGCCAACTTCAGCTCTTGAACCGGCAACTAAAGCGTTAGTTTTTTCTATTGCTTCACTTAAGGTTGTAGAAAGGGCTTTGACATCATCAGAGATGTTAGCATTTTTAGTAATTGTTTCTCCCAAGTTCTCCAAAGCTTTCCCATAGATCTCTGTGCTGGACACTTCATTTTCTAGTCCCAATTTTATCATATCTTTGAGCTCCTCTAGAAACGACTTTATTGCATTTACTGTCTCTCCAACCCCAATAATTTCTGTCCTTCGCTCCTCAAAAGATTTGACGTTTGCTTCATTATGCGTACCGAACTGTTCCTTAATACCGACAATAAAATCATTCAATTTACTAATATCATTCTTAGATGCCATGGATGCAAGTTCAGATGCAAGAATTTGATCAATTACGGATTTTGTTTCCAAGCAAATTGAACCAACTACATCGACATCATTTTTGGTCACTTTCTCTCCATTACTGATGTCTTTTTTTAAAAAATCATTTAAAGTGTCGATGCTTGATAAAATTTTACAAATGTTAGATTCAAAAGCTTTAAAGTCTGTGCTCAAGGTGATATCTTCTAGTTGAATTGCTAGTGAGCCAATTGAGTCACGTATTTGATCAATTTGAAGATCTAGAGGACCAAGGTCTTCTTTGACAAGGCCCTCCGGATATCTACTGCCAAGCCTGGAATTTGTCTTTTTCAGGAGGGTCATGATTGCTTCAAGATCTTCTTTGATAACATCATCTTTCTCAGGTGCTTGGCTGTGTAATTCTAGATTTGTCATTAAGCTCTTAATGTTTTCGATCAATATCTCAATTTCGGTCATATCTGACTTAGAGAGTAATTCAGATTCAGTTTGGGATTGCGAATGAGATGGTGAAGGTTTTGTCATCAGAGCCTCAACTTTTATGCCAATTTGGTCAAGTATCGTCTCTAACTTATCAATATCAGAACGTCGCAAAGGTTCAGCAGCGATCATTGATTTATTGCAACCTTCAGTGATAGAGTCTTTGACACAAGCTTCTTCTCTCATATTTTTAATTTCAACTTTGATATTTTCGAGTCCTGTCCTCAGCGTATCGAGAACTTCTTGACCAAGTGCAACATCAGTCAGTCCTATCGGTTTCTGGGCAAAGTTTTCCATCTCTGTTCTTATACCAGTAATACTATCCAGTAGGGTATTGAAATCTATACCAGAATCGATTACATCATTATTGCGAGCCACTTGAAGTAAATCACCTTCTCTGAAATTTGGCATTTCATCATTAGCAGTAGTTAATATTTGATCTTTTCCAATACCGTTGAGTGTAGAGAGTGAGCTACTTATGGTTCTTTTAATATCCTCAAGACCGTTATTTAAAACCTCGAGTACCTCAGTCGTACTAGTGACGTTACGAGATTCTAGAGTGGTGGTAAAAGTCCCATTCAAGCTTTCCAACCCTCCAACGATTGCGTCAATGATCTCTTCCTTTTCTGATACACTAGTGGGGATATGACAAACTGAAATCGTTTCTTTCATGCTATTGAAACCTTCGTTGAGGGCTTCAATAATTTCATCTTTTTTATTGCCAGCTTCAGGGGTAAGGGTTCCCGAAATATTCTGTCTCATACTATCAAGTGCCTCTTTGACTTCGTCTGTGATTGTTTTTTTGTCGGTATTCGATGAAGATGCTGGATAACTTGCCATGGTCTCCTTAACGTTGTTGAATCCCTCATGGAGGGCCTCAAGGATCTGGTCCTTATCATTAATCGCGCCAATTTTGTTACTTCCTGATAAAGCGTCCTTCACACTCTCTAGTGCATCTTTTATAGAATTGGTTATTTCTTCTTTATCAATACCCAAGGTGGGAGCAGCAGGAGCTATTGTTGACTCTTTCAAAGCTTTGAAGCCGTCATTTAGAGCACTTATTATTTCATCCTTATCCATACTGATAGTGGATGTGAGGGGCCCTGAAATTGAATCTTTCACACTTTCAAATCCCCCGACTAGAGCGTCAAGAACTTCCTCTTTATGGGAATCAAACATAGGAGTCATTGATGTGGAATATGACTCCTTCATTATCTCAAGCTTTTTCAATAAATCTTTTTCCGTATTCGCTCTATCATCGCTGGTATTTGAAATAATAGAAGCTATCAGGGATTCTTTCGTACTTTCTAGACCTTCCATGAGAGAACTCATTATTTCCTGCTTCTCCGTGGCTATGATTGGTGTTAATGAAGCGTTTAACGTTTCTTTGATGCTGACAAACCCATCATTTAAAGTGGATAATAACACCACTTTGTGGGCGTCGAGCTCAGAAGCAAGAGATGCTGCTATTGTATCCTTCATACTTTCAATATTCCCTTTCTCAGAAGTAATAAAATCGTCCTTGTTTATTATTGAGTTTGATATTAGGGTAGATGATACCAACTCTCGCATGCCTTCAAATCCAGTTTTCAAAGCTTCGCGTAGATCTTCTCCCTCCCCATCGGTTTCTGGTTTTTGAGACGTAGATACTAAGTCTTTCATACTCTCGAATCCTCCAACGAATGCATCGAGAATTTCTTGCTTTTCAATATTACCGCTGGGAACCAGAGATTTTGACAACATATCTCTGATACAGTCGAAACCATTGTTCAAAGCCATAAGTATTTCTTCCTTCTCGATGCTTGAAGTCGAAACCAACGAGGTCGACATTGTCTCTTTTGCGTTTTCGATGGCTTCTCTCACAGAATTTTTTATCTCGTCCTTTTCGAGGGCTATATTCGGCACTAGGGAAGTTATTATTGCTTCCTTCATTCCTTCAATTTCTTCCTTCAGAGATGCGAGTATTTCCTCCTTTTGAGTACTCGAGGTCGAAGTAAGTGATGTGGACAATGTCTCCTTGATGCTTTCTAGCCCACCAACGAGTGCATCGAGTATATCTTGCTTTGCAATATCATCATTTACGGATGGAGAGTTTAAGGTCACTTCTCGTATATTCTCAAACCCATCTTTCAGTGCCGAAAGTATCTCCTCTTTTTCAGCACTTGAGGTCGAGACCAAAGAGGCCGACAAAGTCTCCTTGATACTTTCGATGGCTTCTTTTATAGAGTTTGCGATTTCCTCCTTGTTTGTCATTGAGCTAGGTACGAGAGATGTTGACATAGCCTCTTTAATGCCATCAAGTTCGCTTTTCAAGGCTGCAAATAATTCTTCCTTCTCGTTGCTTGAAGTCGAAACCAACGAGGTCGACATTGTCTCTTTTGCGTTTTCGATGGCTTCTCTCACAGAATTTTTTATCTCGTCCTTTTCGAGGGCTATATTCGGCACTAGGGAAGTTATTATTGCTTCCTTCATTCCTTCAATTTCTTCCTTCAGAGATGCGAGTATTTCCTCCTTTTGAGTACTCGAGGTCGAAGTAAGTGATGTGGACAATGTCTCCTTGATGCTTTCTAGCCCACCAACGAGTGCATCGAGTATATCTTGCTTTGCAATATCATCATTTACGGATGGAGAGTTTAAGGTCACTTCTCGTATATTCTCAAACCCATCTTTCAGTGCCGAAAGTATCTCCTCTTTTTCAGCACTTGAGGTCGAGACCAAAGAGGCCGACAAAGTCTCCTTGATACTTTCGATGGCTTCTTTTATAGAGTTTGCGATTTCCTCCTTGTTTGTCATTGAGCTAGGTACGAGAGATGTTGACATAGCCTCTTTAATGCCATCAAGTTCGCTTTTCAAAGTCGCACGTATTTCATCTTTCTGCGCATCAGTAGTCGAGGCTAGTGATGTTGAAGCTGTCTCTTTCATACTTTCAAATCCCCCCACAATTGCGTCGAGAATTTCTTGCTTTTCGCTATTACCGCCTGGTGAGAGAGAGACTGACATGGCTTCTTTCAAGTTGCCAAGTTCACTTTTCAATGCGGTCAATATCTCTTCTTTTTCAGCATTAGATGTAGAGACCAACGATGTTGATACAGATTCTTTCATGCTCTCAAATCCTCCCATAAATGCGTCAAGGATTTCTTGCTTTTCGGCATTACTACCAGGGACGAGGGACATTGTCATTGCTTCCTTCATACTGCCTAGTTCACTCTTTAAAGCAGCAACTATATCCTCCTTTTCAGCACTTGAGGTCGAGACCAAAGAGGCCGACAAAGTCTCCTTGATACTTTCGATGGCTTCTTTTACAGAGTTTGCGATTTCCTCCTTGTTTGTCATTGAGCTAGGTACGAGAGATGTTGACATAGCCTCTTTAATGCCATCAAGTTCGCTTTTCAAAGTCGCACGTATTTCATCTTTCTGCGCATCAGTAGTCGAGGCTAGTGATGTTGAAGCTGTCTCTTTCATACTTTCAAATCCCCCCACAATTGCGTCGAGAATTTCTTGCTTTTCGCTATTACCGCCTGGTGAGAGAGAGACTGACATGGCTTCTTTCAAGTTGCCAAGTTCACTTTTCAATGCGGTCAATATCTCTTCTTTTTCAGCATTAGATGTAGAGACCAACGATGTTGATACAGATTCTTTCATGCTCTCAAATCCTCCCATAAATGCGTCAAGGATTTCTTGCTTTTCGGCATTACTACCAGGGACGAGGGACATTGTCATTGCTTCCTTCATACTGCCTAGTTCACTCTTTAAAGCAGCAACTATATCCTCCTTTTCAGCACTTGAGGTCGAGACCAAAGAGGCCGACAAAGTCTCCTTGATACTTTCGATGGCTTCTTTTACAGAGTTTGCGATTTCCTCCTTGTTTGTCATTGAGCTAGGTACGAGAGATGTTGACATAGCCTCTTTAATGCCATCAAGTTCGCTTTTCAAGGCTGCAAATAATTCTTCCTTCTCGTTGCTTGAAGTCGAAACCAACGAGGTCGACATTGTCTCTTTTGCGTTTTCGATGGCTTCTCTCACAGAATTTTTTATCTCGTCCTTTTCGAGGGCTATATTCGGCACTAGGGAAGTTATTATTGCTTCCTTCATTCCTTCAATTTCTTCCTTCAGAGATGCGAGTATTTCCTCCTTTTGAGTACTCGAGGTCGAAGTAAGTGATGTGGACAATGTCTCCTTGATGCTTTCTAGCCCACCAACGAGTGCATCGAGTATATCTTGCTTTGCAATATCATCATTTACGGATGGAGAGTTTAAGGTCACTTCTCGTATATTCTCAAACCCATCTTTCAGTGCCGAAAGTATCTCCTCTTTTTCAGCACCAGAATTCGAGATCATTAATGTTGATATAATGTCCTTGACACTCTCAATAGCCTCTTTTGCACTGCTTGAAATATCATCCTTGATGTTGGTTGAGCCGGAAACAAGTGATGCTTTCATTACTTCGTTCAGTTTCTCAAACCCGTCTTTGAAGGTTGCAAGTAACTCCTCTTTTTCGGCACTTGAAGTTGAAATTAGCGAGTTTGACATAGTTTCTTTGACACTGTCAATAGCTTCTTTTATAGAATTAGCTACTTCATCCTTATTTATGGTTGAGTAAGGTACAAGAGAAGCTGACATGGCTTCTTGCAAGTTGCCAAGTTCACTTTTCAATGCGGTCAATATCTCTTCTTTTTCAGCATTAGATGTAGAGACCAACGATGTTGATACAGATTCTTTCATGCTCTCAAATCCTCCCATAAATGCGTCAAGGATTTCTTGCTTTTCGGCATTACTACCAGGGACGAGGGACATTGTCATTGCTTCCTTCATACTGCCTAGTTCACTCTTTAAAGCAGCAACTATATCCTCCTTTTCAGCACTTGAGGTCGAGACCAAAGAGGCCGACAAAGTCTCCTTGATACTTTCGATGGCTTCTTTTACAGAGTTTGCGATTTCCTCCTTGTTTGTCATTGAGCTAGGTACGAGAGATGTTGACATAGCCTCTTTAATGCCATCAAGTTCGCTTTTCAAAGTCGCAAGTATTTCATCTTTCTGCGCATCAGTAGTCGAGGCTAGTGATGTTGAAGCTGTCTCTTTCATACTTTCAAATCCCCCCATAATTGCATCAAGAATCTCATCTTTAGGCAATATATTATCCTTAGTATTATTCGTCCTCTCAATTACTTCTTTGAGAGTATTGAGAACGTGATCTTTTGAGGCGTTAGACTCTGATACTACAGTTGATATGATGGTCTCCTTAATGTTATCCACAGCGCTACTTAGAACACTCATGAATTGTTCGTCGCTTTTATTAGTTTTCGAAACAATAGAGCTAGATATTGCCGCCTTTATATTTTCGATTCCACTTGCGATTGCTTCGAGAATTTCCTGTTTTTCAGGACCGAAGTTAGGGCCAAGTGATTGGGAAATTATTTCTTTGACACCCTCGAGACTCTTTTCGAAAGTTACAAGAATTTCTGCTTTTTCATTATTTTGAGTTGGATTTATGGCGTATGGCGTCGTTTGCCTTGGGTTTTCGAGAGCATCTTCGATCATTTGTTTAATTTGATCAACACTAGAGCTGGTATTGAGCAGAGATGTAGATTTGACTACACTTTTGACTTCTTCGAAGCCGTCCTTTACCACTCGGAGGATCTCAATTTCTTTGTTGCTAGTATCACTTGCTGAAGCACAAGCTATTGTTTGCTTAATATCTTCAATACCAATTTTCAGTGCGTCGGAAATTGCATCTTTTTCCACATTGAAGCCCGACGCAAAGGAAGTTTTCATGATTTCTCCGACACTTTCTGCGGAATCTTTGAGGGCAACCAGAATTTCCTTTTTTTGGCTATCAAAGTCAGACAATTTAGAGCAAGACAAATTTTCATTGATTTCGTGAAGTCCAAGTTTCAGGGCATGCAATATTTCGCTAATTTCATTGCTGTTGCTTGACACAGAAGTAGCTAAAATGGCTTCTTTCATTTTTTCAGCTCCATCTTTAAGAGAGGTTAATAATTCTTCTTTTTCGGCACTTGAGGTTGAAATTAACGAATTGGAGGTATTTTCTTTGATACTGTCGATGGCTTCCTTAATAGAGTTTGCAATTTCCTCCTTATTTATTATTGAGCTAGAAATTAGAGATTTTGACATAGCCTCTTTCATGCCATCAAGTTCGCTTTTCAAAGTCGCACGTATTTCATCTTTCTGCGCATCAGTAGTCGAGGCTAGTGATGTTGAAGCTGTCTCTTTCATACTTTCAAATCCCCCCACAATTGCGTCGAGAATTTCTTGCTTTTCGCTATTACCGCCTGGTGAGAGAGAGACTGACATGGCTTCTTTCAAGTTGCCAAGTTCACTTTTCAATGCGGTCAATATCTCTTCTTTTTCAGCATTAGATGTAGAGACCAACGATGTTGATACAGATTCTTTCATGCTCTCAAATCCTCCCATAAATGCGTCAAGGATTTCTTGCTTTTCGGCATTACTACCAGGCACGAGAGACATTGCTTCCTTCATGCTACCAAGTTCACCCTTTAAAGCGGCAAGTACCTCATCTCTCTGTGCACCAAAATTAGGGGTTAACGACGCAGATATTGTCTCCTTCATGCTTTCAAACCCCCCTACAATTGCATCAAGAATCTCATCTTTTGTAGAACTATTACTTGAAACTAAAGATGACTGTTTATGCTGCGCACTTTCCATTACTTCTTTTAGGGCACTAACAATTTCATTCTTCGAGGTATTATTCTCCGACACTATAGCAGTTTTTATTGATTCTTCAGCGTTCTCTACAGTATGTTTGAAGACTTGAAGTGTCTCCTTTCTTTCGACATCGCTACTGTGGAAGAGGAATTGGGATTGAATTTCCCTGATGTTTTCAAGGCTACTTTGAAGAGCTTCACGAATCTCACCTATTTCTTTTTTCTCATCTGAAGAAATAGAGTTTGATGTGGATTCCCTTACGCTTTCCAGGGTTTCTTTAATTGCTTGAATTATATCGGGGTTTTCATGAGACAAACTAGTATTTGAAGAAGTTAGAATCATATCTTTGACGCAGATAACTGCATCTTTAATAGCGTCTATTATAACACTATTATCAGTTTGATCATTTATCAAGGGAGAGCTAAGAATCCTTTCCTTCACGATTTCAATATTTTCTTTAATGTAGTCCAGTACTTCTTTGTTCTCAACACAAGTATCAGCGTTTGATAAGATTGTGATAGGCCCTCGGATGCTTTCAAACCCGTCCTTGAAAGCCATAATTATCTCGTTTTTATCAGAACCAGATGTAGAAATTAAAGATGTAGACATCATCTCTCTTACGCTCTCAGCTGCATCTCTGAGGGTGAAAATGATTTCTTCTTTCTCCGTAATGGTGCTGGGGACGAGAGAGCTTGACAATGTCGACTTTATTCCTTCAAATCCAATTTGGAGAGCATTAAGAATTTCTTCTTTATCTATTTCTTGTCCATTCTTGAGGGAAGTAGCGAGATTACTTTCGACAGTTTCGAGCCCATCTTTAAGGAGTATCATGGCTCCCTCAGATTCAAGCCTAGCTATAGATTGAATGGGGCTTGATACATTGTCTCTGATTTCATCAAAGCCTTCTCTGATTGTTGAGAGAATTAAGGTTCTATCATTTACAGCTGTAGGGGCTAAGGAAGATGAGACAGCATACTTCACACTTTCAAGGCCATTTTGAATCGACTTGAGTATTTCATTTTTATCAGACTCCAAGCATCCTAGATCGTCCTTAATCTTTTCAATATCTAGCTTTAGCGATTTTATGAGATCATAGCTCTCTGAAAAGTTGCCATGGCCATTAAATGAAGGTAAAGCCTCGCATATGCTTTCAACCCCCATATGGACTACTTCAAGTAGATTTGACGAATCCTTGGAAGATAGCTTATATACCTCTTCGCGAAGTATATCAAGGTCTCTCGCCATCGATGTTAGCATTGAGTTTTCAGCCTCATTGCCAGAAGCTCGTTCGATATACGTCTCTAGATCTGCGCGAACACTATCGAAGCCATCCCTAGTGATGTGTAGCAGTTGATTTGTGGTAATTTCAGAATCACAAACCTCTTGCCTCACTTCTTTTGACATGATTTGAAATTCGTGATGAATAGATTCAATTATATCATTTAGTTTTTCGGATATCTGCTCTGAAAAAGCTTCTAGGGTTGATGAATCCAAAAGTTGAGATTTGGTACTATCATCATGATCATCTAGATTTCCAAAATAACAATTGTTAGCATCGACTGATGTAAATATATTTGAACAAGTGTTAAAATTTTTCTCACCATCACAAATAATATTTTTTTGGTTGCTGTCAGCGGAGCCACCTTTACAATCACGATATAACGAGTTCTTTGTTTCCGAAAAGTCGAAAGAATGTAAGCCCTCCCTCACAGCATCAAGCATATCTTCGCGAGTTAGTGTAATTTGATTATTTTCGTTATTCGGGGCTGAGGGGAATTCAAATTCTTCAAGGCATTCCCTGACGGCCTCGAGAACCTCTTCACGAGTAAGACTAGTTTCATTTTCAATTCTGGGTGGCGAAAAATGTTGTAGGCCTTTAGCAACGGCTTCATACACTTCTTCGCTTGTGGCGCCTGATACCGAAGGCGTATAATTTTGGGGGGCATATGTTTGTATACCCTCCTTCAAGCACTCTAGCAATTCGCTTCTCTCAAGACCGAACTGTTGAACTTCAATTTCGGGCTTATAATTTTCCCAGGCATCTTTAATCGCATCTAAAATATCGTCTTTTTCCAACCTTTGGTTTCGAAATTGATCTTGCTCGTTGATTGCGCTTCGAACAGCATTGTAGACTTGTTTATAATCAATCACAGTCTTTGAAGCAAATATTGAGGCAGATTGTCGCTTATGTTCGCGAAGGATCTGGTCCAAATGTGTTTTTAAATCTTCAAGGCCATTTCTAACGAGCCGCGCGACGTGATCTTTTTCTGAGGCTGCTGCTTTTGCCGACTCTTCATTTACTTCGTCGAGCTTTCTTCCAATTTCACGACCCATTCCTAAAACTTCGCCTCGTAGCTCCCGGACGAGCGCTTTAACTTCGGCGGTTAACCCTCCTCCCTGAGTAACGCTATCTTTGATAGTTCTGATAACTCCCATGATATTTTCGTTAACAATTCTGGGAGACAGTACTTGTTTAGACTCACGAAAGCCCTCGCCCTTTTCTTGGGAAGAGCTTATTAAAGAATGTGAGGTCTGTGGGAGATAGTTATGATTTTCTGAGTCTAATTCTAGCCTTGAGGCTCGATCAAAACTATGGGAACGAGATTGCCGGCCATTTTTCATAGCTTTATCTGAGGAGACGAGCGTATCAATAGAAGTTTCTTTCAAGAAATTGATTAGTTCGTCGACCTTTTTCGAAGTTGAACTCTCATCACGATTAAGATGACTAGCTAGTTCCGACAAGTTAGAGAGTAAGTTTGTCTGCCCCTCTTTAGTGCCCATTTCCCTCAGCACTTTTTCAAGAAGGGCAATGATTGCAACACCTTCTGCAACAAACGATGCTGGACTTACTACTGATTCCCTATCCAATGATGCTGAGAAACTAGATGGACTAGGCATCCGAGGAAGGGAAAAAGCTTTTGTCCCTTTTGAAACTGGGGAGTTATGAGCCTTATTATCTAGATAAAGCCCTCCAGATGTTTGACTACTATTGGATAGACTGGAGCCAGCTAAGTTAAGATTTTGAACAAGTTCTCGGAGACTCTTCCTTATATCTTCATCGCGAGCGTTTGTGGCTTCTTTGAGACTAACGAGATCAGTTGCATTATCCTTACTACGCCGGCTTAGCTGCGCCATTTCTCGTTGAAGGCTGGTCGCAATGCTTGTGAGACTGAGAATCTGATTTGATATTGCATCGATCGTTTGAGGTGAACGGACAAGTGCAGTGGAGCCATTGATAACATTTGATACGGATGGATCATTCGAGTTCTTGTTAGCCATAGACTGGAGGGCTAACATTGTAGCTGATTGGGGTGGTATATTTTCACCCAATATACTTTGCGGTGGTTTCCTCAGTGGGAGTCGCATCTTGGGAAATTCTCGGCTAGACATGTCTGAGAAGGGCGTGGGCGAGAAAGGGCAGCTTGAATCATCTTTTTTGGAACCTTTTCCTGTTGTGTTTTTTGTCCCTAAGTATCTTGCTTCAAACGAAACTTCTGACTCTTTCGCGGTCGATCCGTCTTCTATCCTGAGCATTGAATCATGTTCTATCATTCGTTCAGGGACCTTGACTTCAAGAAGATTTCGCATTTCTTTTTCTGGTGATTTATTTTCGGAATACATTTCTTTGCTGGCGAGCAAAGGTCCAGATTTATTGGTGTTTTTATCTGGAGAGCGGGATGGGGATCTAGAAATACTAGAAGCCCCAGATCCTTCCAAAATTTTACCACGTTCCCTGACTCCATGTTGTAGAGACTTTATTCTTTTGTGAGCGGCTTCCTTAATTAACAATCGCTCTGGAGATGGTTCAATCCGTTGGGGGTGGGGATTCGTCACATAAATGGATTCTCGGGTCTTTTCAGCTAGAGCTGCGTGCGCAGATTGGATTGTACCTAAAGCTTTGGAACGCGAAGCCAGACTAGGTGATGAAGGATTCATAGGCAGAGGTGGAGGTGCACGATCTGGATCGGAACTGTCCCACCTGTGACTGAGTTAGTCAAGAGATTTTAGTCCGGCAACTTTTAATAGCTTACATTGGCACCATTGCTCTTCCGATTTCTGATGTTATCGATTGTTGATGTTTAAGTGGTGTGTCGCTTTCGACCGGGGCATCTCGCTCTACGTACGGCATCGTTGGTGTAAAGCGATACGTCGAAGGACCCTGATATTTTTGGGGAATTTATACTAAATCAGCAGCTTCTCCTTTAAATAAACTAGAAATCTAGTCGATGTAGGGTGAATTGAAAGACAAAGTGTATGTAGCAGACATATATTTGTTGTGATGGAGGGGTCCCAAACAGGCAAGTTTGGCTAGGCTAACGGGGTTTGTTTACATTTGGTTGATGGCTGTGCCGACGCGGTCAGAGGGGCAATCAGATGGTGGGATGAATGTCGTCTAATTCCCGGTCAGTGGTTCACAATGAAAACCCTTTTGGTAATCGTTACTTGAAACCTCTCATCCCTAAATTCTTTCCCAGATAAATCTCGCTAGAGCAATCACAGTTTGCAAGATCTGAGTCTTGTTATTAATTTGCCAGCATAATCACAAATGACAAAGTTCGGCTAATAAGGTCCCAAGCGAACTTGTATTTGTATTAGCTGTGGCTCGCGTCAATGTTGACAAGGTGATTAATTGGTCAAGGGTAAGTGATCAAAATAATATTCGCCCGGGCTTTACATCATATTCTTCAGAAATATCTTTCTAAAATCGGTAAGATCCGGAGTGCCTGATGTTAACTCGGCCGAAATCCAAGATATTTTTGCGAGATTTTAACCAAGTTGAAATCTTAACGTAGAATTCTACATGAAAATATGAATTTTCAGACAAAATTTAGATCACATCATGCAGATGCTTTGCACCTGTTCCTTTCAAAATAGATACACGAGCTATCCCCAAGATTCCACGTGGTTTAAATGTATCCAACCTTCCTACTGCGGTGTGTGCCAAACGTATTCCACGCACTAATTCAATGTTATTAGAAGCTACCTATTCACATTACATGGCTTTTTGAAATGTGTTCGCGGGTCCTTTTAGACTTTATTTAGTGGTGTAAGTGGTACAGAAGTGTATATTTATAGCCGTGCTGAACATCTCTGGACGTTTAAGGGATAGTTATTGTCAATTGCCTATTTATGAGGATTCATCTTACCTCCATGCCTTTCGTATTGTTATCACTTTCTGTGGTAACACCTTGTGTATTGACAAATGTGGTGTCGTTTACACAGTTCTTGACGTCTGAGAGACGCCTTCTTGTCTAGTGGAACGTTCAAATAATATAAGGTAGCTTAGGAAGATCTATCAATCATACTTGATTCGCATTTAAGCCATTTATTACAGTCGTTTTTCTTTTTTTTCGAGAAAAACGGCTATCTTCACTTGTATTTCAAGCCTCGGCATCGTCTGATAGAGTTGAATAATCTTGAGTCTCTGAAGATATGGTCTAAGTTGTGATGTGAATTATTGTCTCCGAGTATTTCCAAAAGTGTAGGTTTACGCACGCGTGACGAGATGTTTCTAAATTCAAACTAATTATCTCTGATTCCAGAATGCGTTGCGTTGTATCGCGTCGCGTAATATTGTGTTAAGTTTCGAACTTGCCGCGGGCTCATTAGGGAGCAAATAATCCCTTGTTAAATCTCGACAGGGGACTGGTTACACTTCCTTGAAAATGAATTTCAGCTCTTTTGTATTTAATTTACCGGTGAATATGAGCGCACTCGTCACGAGAAGTTCAAATGTTGCTATAGCAACACTACATGATTGCAAGACTCTGTCGTCGTCACAGCAACAGGAAAGTTCACGATCGAACAGAGTCAGAGGAAACCGATTCCACACAACGACAAGAGCTGTTAGTAAAAGCAGTAGTTTTAAAGTGGTGCGCATCAAGGACAAAAATTAAACACCCATGTGCGTTGCCCACTACGAAAAGTCAAGCAATATATATCCTCATTGACAAGTTCAGCTCACTTTCGCAATCCTGAAGAAATCGGCCCTCAAGGTTTTGACTAAACACTCTACCCCCATATAGATCGTTTCTCACCAAATCCTTTTCAAGTCTTCAAGCACGTACTATTAGGTCCTCCTTTCTAAGATCACTACTCTCGTCGAATTGGTATTTAGCCATAAGTGGCCTCCAAATATACGCCCACGACATTATTAAAATCCTATTGAGTAAGTAAAATGTGGCACACAAAACAGGAAGACAGTCCTTCGGAATAAACGCGAGAAAAATTAGGTCAGTTTTACATGATGATGCATACGTGTTTTTTTTTTTCTCATATAAGTGTATTCAGCTATAGAGCTATGACACATGACCGGTGCTATGTATACATACTGGATGACTCTTTTGACGTTAGAGATACTCATACTCTGGATTTAATTTGCAAATACCACTATAAGGTTTTCTTGCTTACACAAACAGTCGACCCTCCTCCGTAAGTACCTACCAAGGGACGTTTTAAAACCTTTGGTTATCCAAGCGTGCTTTCGTCATCCATGCATACCAGCGCCGCGAGAAAATTGGTTGTGTCTTGCTGGGTTTGAACGAGCGATTTATTGTACGTATGTATGTATGTATGAATTTCGTATCAGGCAAAAAGCCCTACACCCCAGAGGCATGATACGGGTGTGTGATCCCTAAAGACTCACTACTACCTATCTGTCCAGCTTTTTAGGCCGATTGATTACATGAAAAGAAAGGAATAAAGAAAATTGCCTGACAAAAAACGCCCTGCGCCTTGCCCACGAGCGATCTATTGTCTCGAGTGGGATATTCGTCCAAGCTATCCAGACTCCATTTGGCAGACCGGCCAAGACGATGTACCACCGCACCATCCAATCATGGCGGTGTTTATAGTGTCGCCTGCACTCTCGCAACCGAAGTCTTGGCACGCACAAAGCTCAATTTGTAAAAACTCCTTGCCAAATTTCGAAGTTTCACGCCCATCAAGACTGTATCCATCCTTCGCATCACCTTGTTAACTTGTCCTGAATCCTCTCACGTCAATCTCAAGGAACCATCTCCCAGATTTGTGCGCCACGCTTTGTTTCCTCCGTCGGGTATAAATATGGGCGTGGGCGTGTATTTGGCGACGAGCTGAGGCCATAGAAAGTCGACGATAGGTGTGATCATTGGAATGAGGATGTACTAGGTCGTACTTGTTGACTTGATGAGGCTTGGACAGGATTCGAACTCGTTGGGTGTGAATATTTGATAAGGTGGAGTAGTTTGAATCATTGCCTCGTGGGCCAACTTGTTCGTTATTGCGAAATTTGACGGAACTTCGCTCCGGGAGAATATTTCACTCCCAGGTTCGTAGAGGACACCGCGTACAAGTGTTCAGTCTTGCCCTCCTCCGACTCCAGTTACATGGCGCTAATGCATCGTGCAGCTGCCGAAGATTTCCAATCGTCTAACGTCACGAAGTATTCGGCAGTTTCTCGATAATCTCCTTGTGCGCATGCGGGGGCCTGGCGATAGTCCCTGCTACTCACAAAAATATCACAGCAGGGCTAGAAAAAAGCAAAGAAATTGGAGAGAAGTTAACCCACAGCGTTGCCGTAAGACAAATTTATAATTCGTTAAATGTATGCAGCTCCGTAAAACATTATACCAAGGTCAAGGGAAATTCTTGAGACACTCTATCGCGCAAAATTGTCAAATGCACAGACAATCGTGAAATATCTAACAATTTTCATGATGCCTTAAGTTCGGAATGGATATTTATCGACTTCTAAACTTGTTGTCGACATTGTATATGGATGTCTGTTATCACAGGCATTGGAAATAATTCATGAGCTTGCTTGATGAGAGGCTAGTATTGATTCCGATTGATATTGTAGAGGACTTGTTCCAACTATCAGAGGCCTACAACGTCTTTATCTATCTACAGGTAAATTCCCCATATTCAAACCGCACTAGCCATACAGGACGTAGCATGTAAAACCTGATTCGTATCATCATTTTGGGGTTGAGGTTTACCGTGCATATGCTACTCGAGTCGCATATCTGAGTACTATGCGACACGCTGAGGTATCAATCTAACAACCCACACCAAAACCGAGACTACTCAAAACCCTGATGATGATCCCATGAATAGTTGGAATAGTAGGTTGCAACATAACACAATTAGGCCAGATATCATCGATGTGGACTTAATCCGAACAGATATAATCAAGTGAAGTCTCTTAAGTTTGATACATCATTTTACCACAATTTAAAAGGTCATTCGTGAAAGGCTTAACCAATATGGCAATAGTAACAGTGGATATCTAGATTATTGGATCTTACATAGGATCTGGCTAGGTCACCAAGTCCAAATCCTGCGACACAGAGGTGCCTGAGGTACTTGGGTGTTGGACAAAGTCTGTCAAACATCTGATGGCTTAGAACCTACTGAATAAGGTAATGAGAATCGTTGGATATTGGGATGACACATCTCGGATTAACTTACTCGAGCTTTGATATCTCACCAGGGATATGGTGATCAGGATGTTCAGGATAGTCAAAGCTCCAACTTGAGATCTTTTGATCTTCAACACATGTAATGTATTTCATATGTAATTTTGGGAAACGAGGAGAAGATTATCTCTCCTCGAGATAGTTTCAGATGGGTATATAGCATCACTGCTGGAGAGGAGTTGAGGAGCAGAGATTTCATCAATACAAGTTTACTTTACATTTTTCATTTGACCCTCAGTGTTTAACAAAGTCCGTTCGGGCGCTTCAAATTATCAATGATTATCAGGATACGATATCAGTTTGGGCCCTAGTGACCCAAAACATATTTGTCTTTAAAATCATTGTGAACCAAACGAATGGCACTGGGGGACGAAGGCTAAGCACTAATCAGGGGAGTCCCCCACGAATCTAGGTGTAGAATGTTCTCCCATAGCCGGGCTCGGTCAAATATAGAAACACAGGAGACGTCATCCAACTACTTCAATTATCGACCCCCAAAATGGCTCCATTTCCACCACAATGTGTTCAAATTTCCTATCATGGCCGATGACATCCTCTTTTCCATGATCACGTTTCTCGTAGACCCAGACCCTGCGTTGGCTCGCCGCAATTACATGCCTACGATACTTCGAATGGATGCCAGCACATGAATTGAGCGAGCCAACTGAATGAGAATCACTTAAATGATAGAATAGTTAAAAAGACGAGGCTACGCATGGATAAAGACCCAAGCAAGCGGGGAGATTTGAGATAGGAGTTTTCTGCATGAAAGAGCATCATGCGCGTCACGACCTCATTTTTAAGAGTGTATGTGGCACTGTAAATACTGCCATTATTGGTTATTCCGGTGGTGCATTACCAGAGCTGATCTCCCGAGTCAAGTCTTCATGGCGTAGGCACCTAACCTAAATGAGACAGCAAGTGACTGATTCCAGTCCAAAGATAGCCTACTACGTTACTCGCGATGCTTGAGTATCCGAGGGTCTTGAAATCGTCTGTTGATGGTTCTCCAAGGACGATGGTCGACCGTTCATTGTAAAGGTCACTTCATAAAAGTATTTTGGAATGAAATTTAGAGTACCAGCACCCATAAAGTCAAAAGTGTCGCGAAGCATATAAACAAGACTGATCATGTATTATAGCTATATAGCCGAATATTTATTAAATATTTAATATAATATCTACGGCTCATACCTTCTCAATCTCCTTGGTTAACCATCAAACATAGAAGTTGCGCGCACAAAACTTTGGCGGCCGGCGTGGTCTAATTATTCTAGTGGAGCGAGGATATATCTACCACAGGGGATGGTCAGCCTGATAAAGCACAGTTCTCTTGTATTTACCTTATCAGGATATTAGAAGATAAAAGTATTCAGACGTACTGATAAAAATTATCAATTGAGCATAGTTCATCCTACCCTATTTTGAGTCATACCCTTCTGCGACCCGCAGATCTCATTTATAGAAGAAAAGAACTGGCTAATAGCCTGCGTAAAGTTTGACGGCCAAGGATTGGAGTCAAAGGTATGACGAAGGTTTAAATAGATAGCAAAGTCTGCTTTTAAGACGCTAATAATATACAGTAGTGTGAGACTGCAAGTAACACACGACCGTATTGGAAGGTGATACTAAAACTATAGTCAATTTAATCTCCGTCTTTTAATGTTCGCTGATTTCCCCGGCTGTATTCCCGGTATGGACTTGGCACAACGGACCAGTTCATACTTGGCATGCTCATTCGTTTCAGAGTAATCCATTGATGGCGTGATAAATTATTCTCCTCTCGACTACTGATGACGCTTGACAGTAATAAAACTGAGTCGTTCCGATCCGCTTGACTAGGGCTAGGTTATAAGACTTACTATAATATATTTTCTCGCTCCACACCGTCAATACTCACGGTGAAGATGGAGGAGGTCGAGGTCCAACTATCTGTCTTTTACTAGCTCCTATACCTAGAGTACCTTTGTTTTGCGAGTCCCCTCCTGTGTAGCTCGTCCACTGGTTTACGTCCCAACGACTATTAATACCTTCGGCTACACCATCGGTGTCATTATTTGCACCGTCTAATAATTTTTCCTTATGTCCTCGCTGGTCCTCTTCCCATTCTCGTTGTCGCTGACGATCGAGTTCCATCTCGCGTTCCAAGAGACCTTTAATTGCGAGCCCACTTGGCTTAGCCTGTGGTTGTAGGGGTTGTATAGACGTAATAGTAGTATGTTCCTTGGGAACCTCAGATTCTCCCGTCAAAGTGTCTATATATGATCTTTGAAATTTTGATGGCGGCGGCTGCACAAACTTTTGATCTTTCCCGGGTGCAGTTTTATACTTTTCTGGATCAGGTAAGGGCCTGGCTGCAGTATGGTTCTTCGGTGTTTGTGATACTAATGCAGGGTCAGGGAGCGGACGGGGAGATTTTGCCCGCGATATTAACCGAGCAGTGGGTGAATTGACCATCAGATAAGGGGATTTGTTCAAGGTATTGGAAGAAGACTGTTTACGTGGATATTTTTGTTCATCGACCCGGGGGGGCTGGTCGCAAATATTGTGAGGAGAGCGAGGTAAGCTTTTCGAGCGAGTACGAGCCTTGTCTTCATCAAGCGTAGAACTATCATTCCCAACATCCTGAAAGCTCCATTTATTTTTGCTTGCTTTGCGGATTCTTTCATATTCGCGCTCTCTTTCCCTTGCCCTCTCCAGTTCATATTCTAGCTCTTTAATTCGACGGCTTTCAGGAGTAAATTTATGTGTTAGCCTTTTCTCCGGCTGATACTGGCTTATAAATTGATGTCTCAAGCGTGAATTGCTGGCGGTATTGAGACGATTTCGTCTTTCCTGTAGCCGAGCCTCAGCCTCTATATCTTCTCTCTGGCGTTGCTCCTCTTCTAAACGCCATCTCTGTTCCTCCTCTTCCCACTTGCGGTGTACCTCCTCGGTTTTTAGATGTTCCTTCTTCCTCTGCTCTTCAAGTTCTTCAGCCATGCGCTGTGCCTCAACCAGCCGACTACTTTCTTGAGCTTTGATTTTTTCTTGACGATGTCTTTCGTTTTCTTCGCTTTCTCGCTGCAGCCTCTCTTTTTCAGCCTCAATCTCTTTTTGTTTATTTTCTCTCTCGGCCCTGCCAGGAACATATGGGCCGGCACTTGTTATCTGTCTTCTACCACCAAAAGAAACTCCTAAATTAGCCTGACTCGCACCTCCGAGAAACCCATACTGTGTAATATTCCACGCAGGAGACTTCGATCTCTCTTCGGAATTTTTGTTCCAACAACTTACTCCCGGTGATAGAGGCCGACCACGAGATTTCCCCGGGCTCCATCTTCCGCTGTTAGAATCTCCAGTCTTTGCTTTTGTTAATACAGGGGATGCTTTAGAAATGACTGATAGCATGCTATCATCAGTATTTATTGCTTCTCGGTCACGATTCCAATTTCCGGCACTGATGGTTCCGCTTGGTATGGGACTCATTTGCGATCGAACGCCGATAGGGGTTGGAAATTTCACCGGATCAATCCGGTGTGCGGCTCTACTGAATGCACTAAGGCATTGGAGAACCTGCGCTGGATCTTTGAGTTCGTAAAGGTCGACAGTAAGAAACAAGTCATGAGATGGAATATTGAAAGGCTGACATTTACAGGCCTCGAGAAATAGTGATATGTTCTCCATCTGAACAAATGGCATTACTGCCTTGGATTTAAATCTCAAGGTGTTAGGTGCTGCTTGATTAACAAGTCTAAGCCTGGTGAGCATTTGATAAAGTTAGCCCTGGATGGTCCCTATACTTGCAAAGTGCTACGCCATCTTTTAATGATAACAATAGGTCTCCATCTGATAAACGCTCTCTGATTGACTGTTCTACAAAAATTCGGGCCTCATTTGCTGCAGCTGGTGTGTACCTGTCGAGACGCAACTTCCGCATATCCTTGGGGAGAAAGGTGGACGATACCATGACAAGGGCGGGTATGCGCGATGTAAGCTCGATTTAGAGGTTTGTGAATTTGTTTACCACAGCAGAGGATTAATAGGAAAGCTAGAGCAACAAAAATATAGCACGAAAAGAGCTAAGATGGCATGAGTGAGAGTCAGAATTATAGAATCGTTCAATCAGTCCCATCATGAAAAAGGCTGTTATAGCAACCGCACATCAGCATCCTTCGCATGACGTAGGTCATGATAAGATTACTTTCACGTGATATCTCCACAAAATATTCAGCTTTATTTACTTGAACGAAAACGGCGGAAAGGACAGCTGCCAATTACCCAGCGGCAAGAGTCATTTGTGTGGCTCCGTTATGACTAGAGGTGAATGAAAAGTAATCTGGGGTCATTTAGGTATGCGATAATTTGCCAAAGCAGTTATGATCAGGCCGAAGCATCCCAGGCATTTTACAGACATTATCTCCACTATATTACTTTTACATCCCTCATGTCGACAATTACTTTGACTTAATGCACTAAGAAAATCAAGTATTTTCCTCAGTTTAGCGCGCTTTAATCCTTTTATGAGGGTACGGGATAGTTGCCAATGGTAGGAGAAATGAGGTTAAGGCCCATTGACCTAAAATTTGAAGGATTTAACACTAAACAGACCTGTGTTGCTTAGCAACGGGTTGACAATTTTTGGACTTCATGGAAAACCGTTTGCATTTGAGTATTTTGAAGGGGAGGACGTGTAATTCTAATCCTTCCCAGTTAAACTGTTGCCTAAGCAGTACTTCGCAGGTTACTGCTCCCATCATCGGTGCTAGATATTTGTAAATACATTCGAGAATTGGATGTATTTTTATCAGGGTTACTATCCTTGAATTGGCGCATAAACTAAAATCTTTTAAGGAATTGTGAGCTTCGACGGACTCTTATCAGCTAGTCATTTCTTGGGGACTGCCCGCCAGAAAAGCTGTAGGAAATTGTTAGACACTGAGGGTCAAATGAAAAATATAAAGTAAAATTGTATTAATCAAATCTCAACTCCTCAACTCGTCTCCGGCCTTGATGCTATATACCCATCTAAAACTATTCCCGGGAGAGAATTTCTCTTCTTTTCCCAAATTTATATTCATTCATTTCTCTAGTTTAACGTCCTATGCGATATCTGTATATAGAACCATGAAGACGGTAAGCCGTTTTGGTTTGGGTAAAAGCTTTAAACAAGACAAATCCCGATGTCGTGCTACTTTGAACCGACCCAGCTTCATGCCGAGGGCGTTCCTTTCGTCCATTGTTTTGTAAACTTTCTGCAAATTTCAATAACTCCCCTTTCGATCGGACTAACCCTGTGAGAAATTGAATAAAGAAGGCACTTCCTCAATCGGCGTTGGTCGTCGAAGTGTTCGGAGAGTTGGCCCCGATGATGGTGCTACTGTCAACGGAATTTTTTTGCATCAGATTTTAATTGCGTATGCAGCTGTCTAGCTATGACATAATATCAGAGAAGTATATTATAGATGACTCAATATAAATGAAGAGCACTCATGCCTCGGATTTCATTTGCAAGTTCCACTGCGAAGCCATGAAGGCTTTTCCCCACCCCAATTCAGCCCTCATCCGTGACTGCCCACCCAGGAAACGTCTCAAAACTCCGAGTTATCCAGACATGCCCCCATTATCCATTATCTTTTCTCCGCGCGAAATGTGATCTGAGATGTCTCCTTCCCAAGTAGAGTAGGTGCTCATGCTACTCAAACTTGGGAAGGAGAACACCACTAGGAGGCGGTCCGCGGTACCTTCCATCGTCGACTTGTGTTAATGGTGTCAGCTGCACTCTCGCAAGCGAAGTCTTGGCGCGCACAAAGCTCAAATTGTAAAACTCCTTGCCAAAATTCCAAAATTCACGCCCATCGAAGTTATATCCTTCCTTTGCATCATCTTGTGAACCTAATCTGATCCCTCTCACGTCCGTCCCAAAGAACTGTCTCTCAGATTTGTGCGCCACGCTTTGCTTCCTCCATCAGGTGTAAATATCCTTTCGATGAGATGTTTGGTGCTGCCGAGGCTTCGACTACCTTGCGCGATCGTCCCGGTCCTCTTTTAAGCCCTTCAGCCTTTTTACTGGCGACCAAAGTAAATCCTTGATCATCAGTCGTTCTGACTGTTCGTATTGGCGCCATTTTAGGGTTTTCATTCCATTTTTCCGCCGTTCTCGATAGCAGCTACTGTTAAAGATTTAATCTGTCCATAGCTCTGAGCTTGATGATGGCCAGCAAGACGAAGAATATCATGACCTGTCATTTAAAATAAAAGGGCGAAAAGGCATTAATTGGAAGATAGGACCGATATAGTAAGGGATGATTAGCCCAGAGTAGGTATGGGCTTTATGAACGTAGTCGGAAGCATCGACGTATTAATGTGGGGTTAAGTGCGCGATATATATATACACGTGTCATATCCCTGTCAACAATTGCCAAACCCCGCACTGCCATAAACACCATCAATGGAGGGCAAGACTGAATACCTGTACGCGGTGTCCTCTACGAACCTGGGAGTGAAATATTCTCCCAGAGCCAAGCTCAGTCAAATTTCGCAATATCAAAGAAGTTGGCCCACGAGGCAAGAATTTAAATTACTCCACCATGTCAATCTTTCACTCCCAAAGAGTCCCATTCTCAACTAAGCTTCATCAAGTCTACAAGTACGACCTAGTATATCCTCATTTCAATGACTACACGTCTCGTCGACTTTCTCTGGCCTCAGCCGATCACCAAATACACGCCCACGCCGATATTTATACCCGACGGAGGAAGCAAAGCGTGGCGCACAAATCTGGGAGACAGTTCCTTGGGATGGACGTGAGAGGGATTAAGACAAGTTGATAAGATGATGCAGAAGAGAGATACGTTTTCGACGGGCGTGAAATTTCGAATCGAGCTTGTGCGCGCCAAGACTTCGCTTGCGAGAGTGCAGCTGACGCTATATACACAAGCCGAAGATGGAAGGCGTTGTGGTCCACCTCCTGGCGGTGTTCTCTGGTATAGTTTGAGTAGCCTGGGCACCTACTCCACTTGGGAAGGAGACACCTTAGATTACATACCGCGCGGAGAAAAATTGATGGATGACGGAGGCATGTCTGGATAACTCAGGGTTTTTGAGATGTTCCCCTGGGTGGGTATTCACGGATGAGGGTTGACTTGGGGTGAAGAAAAAGCCGCCATAACTTCGCAGTGGAACTTGCAAATGAAATCCGAGGCATGAGTGCTCTTGTAAATTGAGTCATCTTTTCTGTACTTTTCTTTGATATTGTGTCAAAGCTAGATAGCTGCATACGCAATTAAAATCTGATGCAAAAAATAAAAAACACTATCAATCTCTGCTATCCATCCCAATCCTGAGTATCAATATGAGTTACTATTATACGGTATTTTTGTACGGGTCGATATCAAGATAGAAATGTTAACAGCTCTATCCGAGACTTCTCTACACTTCACTTGTAGACCTGTTAGATCTGACACGCTGCTTTCTGCCACGAACGGTGTTCCTTGCCGCAGTTAGCACAAGAAATCCTTTTCCCCGGAGAGTCCCGAGTTCGATGAGCACCAGCGTACTCACCGCACCTAACTGTCTTTCCACACGACGCTTGTGTGTGCCCCCACTGGCTGCAGTTGAAGCACTGCTTTGGTTGGGGCCGTGGTAACCACACCTGCGCGGTGAAGAGCATGGCGTTCATTGCTATACCGTTTCGGACTACTTCCGTTTCTTTAGCCTCCGATGGGAGGCTAACCACTATTGTTCCGCGAGTGCGGCCATATTTCTTTGAATGCTGGTGTTCTCTTCCTTCATGTAACCATGGAATTTTGTTGATCGAAAGACCTGGAATTCGTGCCCTTGTTGTCGTCTCCATCTCCCGGATGATGGCGTAATTGTTGGCATCTCTGCCCCCTTCAATTCGTCTCCCGCAATGGGACATGGTTGACCTCGACTGAAAAGTCTTGTAGCAAGATTTTAAATCCATTTGGTTGTCGCATATTTAGCGCCGCCTGTCTCTGGGACGCTGACTGGACGAACACCTCGGTGTCGTTGGTCCGCATTTGTCGAATCGCATATGCGTCATCGATGTGTTGTTTTGCTTTTGGTAGCAGCTCTTCTGGCTGCAGTTTATCGGGTCCGTCAATTCTGATTCATATCGCCGTTATCGTTATTTGCAGAGCCACTACCGACGTGTAGCTCCTTGTATCGGCGCGCCCGAAGTCACTGCTAGAGCAGCTTTTCGAGCAGGATATGCGAGGCTCTTCTTGATAACTTCCTCTAACGCCATCATCACCTCTTCAATTGGAGACATCTTCTGGAACATTTCAGTCTAGACCCTTTTGTGAGCATAGAATACCCTCACGGCTTGGTTAACATTCTCCAAAGATAGTGGGTCTTCCTCATCTATCTCTCCCATCACTATTAGTCTTATCTATTGAAGTAGTTTCCCCAGGATTACTAAATTCTTATCCTTTGAAGCTATCTGAGCTCCGCTGCTGTTGTTGTTGGTGGCCATTGTCGCTTTTTGAGACACGTCGAAACCGCTGGATTTACCCACACCAGCATCAATACCTGCCATGTTAAAGTACAGAAAGCAAAATGACGGGAGGAGGGTAAAGAAAATATAAAAATTGGACGCACGATGTCAAATTGATGATAAAGGCAGCGTGGAACATTGCGCAGCTTTTTGGTAAATATGATGTTCTCCCCCAAAATTACATATAAAGTATATTACATATGTTGGAGCCTTGACCATCCTGAACATCATGATCACCATATCTCTGGTGAGATATCAAAGCTCGAGTGAGTTAATCCGAGAAGATGTGTTATCCCAATATACAATGATTCTCATTACTATATTCAGTAGGTTCCAAACTATCAGATATTTGACAAAAATAGTGAAGGTGTCTGGTATATGAAGGCTGAATTGAATGTTACTATTCAATATCCTATTTTGTATGAAGTCATTTTACTAAGCCAACAGTTGGA